GCTTGACTGTACACGAAACGTTTTGTAAGTTGGACGCTGAACAATTAATTATACCGGCCAAGTCAGACTTCAGCTCTGTCGGATGATGACAAGGATGGCGGCTAAATTAGTCTCGAAAGATCAGTACCGTTGAGACCCAGAATAAATTAAACACATCATTAACTCTACTATTGAGGTTTTCATTATTTAGGTGCCGTTTGCGACAAAAATCAAAAGTGGCAGCCTCTGAAAATCGGCACCCTAGGCGGCTATCTATGTTGGCAATGTCTGAAGTAAACCCAGATGGTGCAGTTTTCCATTGTTACCAAACTGAAGCGTGTATACTGCTATTTTCTGGCTTCTCAGAAGAAGCATATTGAAGAATTCGATCCTCATCAGTTTCATGTAGGGACTAGAAGGTGCACTATTTTTCAGTTATTGTTCTCGGATACCAGGCTTTCACTCTTCAGAAAAGTTAAACGAAATAAGCATATTCTCGATGAAGCGCTATTAGGTTTCGTTAAGACTTAATCTTTGTGGTATTTGCTGTCGTATAAAATTGCTGATTTATCTGCATTACAGTGAAAAAGCTCAGAATGGATTAATTTTCGAGTCTGTAAAAAATGTCTACTGTTCACATATAAATGTATTAAAAATAATGCGATCTTTATTACTGTAAAAATCCGTAAATGAGAATATGAATCTTTTAACAAGTACGAATTAACGTTAGACAGATGTGTACCTTCATATCTTAGAATAAGATTTATATTGCATTATAAACTAATTAGCTCTATTTATAGATTTTTTTTTGGGTGAATTACTTATGTTAGGTTTTAATGGTAATGTAAATAATGCAAAATCGGACTTCAAAGAATTAAAATTTTGAAATTTTTGCAACTTGCAACAAAAGCATGATTTAAATGTATACACAGATAACAAAAACAAATTCCTTCGGGGGCGCCAGTTTATTGCCATAGGCAACAGCAGAATAATCATGATCATATCATTTTCCACTACATATTTACCATTTAAAATACTTAACATCTGCAACATTTGCCTATATAAGAATTATTCATAGTACATCGTAGAGTCATTAGTTATTTTTGAAGCAGGAGATCTGAAAAATCTGCGGTGCCCTCGCCGGAACGCGAACCTGGACCTCTCGAATACGCGCCGAATATGCTAAAGTTACACCACGGGGACATGTAGAAAGAAGGAAAGGAGGGAGAAAATACCTTATATACTCTCCCTTTAAAGGATGACTGGGAATTAGGGGACCCAGTTGCAAAGCCTGGTGGTGAATAATCATCATCCACCATCTTTTAGTTCGGGCGCCACAGTAGAGACATTAGTTTATTTTAAGCAGAAGACGTGAAAAAGGAGCAATATCCTCGCCGAGACTCGAACCTGGACCTCTCTAAATGCGCGCCGAGTGTGCTACCGTTACACCACGAAAGCATGCAGAAAGGAGGGAGAAAATACCATATAACATTTTACGTTATATTGTATGAAATTATATTTATTGCCTATAATATTACAAGCATTTAATTTCCAAAGTTTTAAATTAAAAAATAAAAAAATCTAATCCCTTAGAATTTTTACAGATTTGCAAGGATGTTATGACAGTGTGATAAAAAATGTTGCTTAAACATCGCGAGTTACAACTGCTTTCGCTCAGTCATTAACTAACTCCATGAATGTTCTCTTAGATAACAGCTTTCTTTTTTTCAGTAACGTTTCGAAATGATTAGAAGAAAACATCCATCGTAAGTCAGAAGCGATAGTACGAGACCTAAACAACGTAAATATGTTTCTCTTTTTGCACCCTAGTGACCTTTCAGCTTCATCATAATAAACAACCAAAACACGTAAATTTGGCAGCACATGACGCGTTAAAAATATTTATTATTATCTGTACAGCTTGTTCTATTGGACGGCCAGAGGTTTCCTTTTTAAAGTTTGAATTTAAGTGAAGTAACGTGGCGGGAAAAGTTAAACAGATTTAACTATGCTTTTCATGCTATGATTAAATGAAAAGGCCCAAGGTTTAAGTAATCTTTGTTATAGGCACTGAAACAACGAATAGTTGTGGCGTAACACGCGACAGGGGCAAAGTTTTTTTTCCTTCATTCCTGAAGTTCTTAAACATTTTAACAAACCTTACTATTTAACAAAAATTCTGTTTTATATTTTTAAAGTGAGGTTATAAATTAATATCATCTTACTGCATTTCCAATTGGATTTTATTATATAAGGCTAAAATGGCGGGAAAGAAAATGTTTTTGCCGATGATGGACTTTAATATCGCATCGGAAAGCCTCACAGTTTACAGGAAAAATTGATTATAAATTCTTATTTTTTATATAATTATTACGACAATGACATGAAATTTTGGCAACCAGATTTAGTTGCAAGTATTTCATTCTGTTTTTTCAAATACATTTAACTCGCTCCTGAGTACCAACCCTTTATGGTAACGACCTCTGAAAGTGACAATTAGTTCTAAGAACATAAATGAATAACGTTTTGGTTTGGCATTTTCCCTTTTGGATATGTAAAAATTCCAAAAAGGCCGAATGAATAATTTAACCTCAGTTAAATTAAAAGTGAAAATATATTTTTGGATTTTGGCTTTATGAAATCAATCCAAACCGCAGAACTTACAAGATGCATGAATTTAAAAAACGCGAGCTTGAAGAAACCTTGACTTATACGGAAGAATTACATTATACGTTGAATAACTTCGCGAGTTCCCTTTCAAACCTCAGAATTTTAGAACTATTTGTAATTTATGTTTTACAGAAAACAATAAAAGTTTAGGTAAATAAAACAAATCAATTCTGTGCAGAAATGCAAAATATACGTAGTGAGAGTAAGCTAGGATTATTTGCAATCATACAGCAAATCTTTAAATATTCGAGTTAAAAACCAATACAGCAAAAATTCTCAATGATTTCAAAACGAGAAATGGCAACACTGTACGGGAAAAAACATAAACATTTTTATCTTCAGCGCGCGAGACTGTCTATCGGAAATTCAAAAGGTATGATATTTTTAAATATTTTATAGGGCATTTCAAATTTCGTAAATCTTTAATAAATTTTTGATAAAAAACACAACGATTTTAAAGAGAGCAATGGCAACACTGTACGAGAAAGAAAACATTTTTTCTCCGACGCGATAGACTGTCTATCGGAAATTCTAAAGATAGACTGTTTTTAAATGTTTTTAACCCAAAGGAACATTAGCCCAAATGCTCTAGAAACGTGTACGTATATGTAAATGTAAAAAATGCCCCTTTGGATGTAATTATATAATCTGAAAAATTATTGTTTATTATATTGTAATTTATTATGCATTATTTAAAATATAAGATTGAACATTTTACAACAATTTGTTTTACGTTACTCTCGAATCGAATCATCTGGGAAGAAAGAGAAGAAATCAAAGAACTCTATTATAAACCTTAATTAATTAAGTTAAAGGGATTAAATCAAACTTATGCAAAATTTTTGTTAGTTTAATTATCAAGTGTATGAATAAAAGGTAAAAATAAAATTTTCAGTTCTTTGTCTCATCCAGGCTTCACCAACAAGAATGTAAAATGAAGGCGTAATGTATGATTTTTTAAGAAATTAAAATACGCGTTTCAAATTTTCTTCCTGGTTTTAATTTTATACCTTGCGTATGTAACTTAAAATTCATCACATTAGAAATAGTACATAACATTTTATATTTTAAAAAAGGATTTACAAGTGCTTCTGAAAGCGGAAAATTTAGTTTATGAAGTAGTGGGCCCACGTCGCTTAACCTTTTTAAGGCTTTCCCTTTGAGCCCTTTTAAGGCAATATAAGTTTACAATTAACAAAAATAATTAATGATTCAAGGACCTTTATAGTTAGACTTACTCAACCATTATAAGTTCGCCTCTATGGGGCTTAGTGCATGTGTCTCTTTTCCCGTACGTGAATCAGGCCCTATTAATGACACTAATATGCTAGTTATAAAATTATTAAGAATCTCCTCAGTCTGTCGCAATGCGATTATAGTTTGAAAAATAAATTAAAATATCTTAGGGTTCGTGGAATGGCAACAGTCCTCATAATTAGCCCATTTTCAGGTAGCGCAGATGATTAATGCTATAATAGCTTAATGCAATGTAGCACAGCATGATGTAAAAATAGAATAGATCAAAGATTTTTCGAACTGTGTTCTGCGAAGCCCTAGATTCCCACACAACTTCCCTCATGGTACCGTAAGTTAAAATCGAAATTCAGAACAATTTTTCAGTACGATGTGGAAATCTGACATTCTTAATTAAATTAATAACATTCTTAATTCTCATTTAAGAACTTCTATTGCTGCTGTTACCTAAACAAATTTTTTGTTATTTCTCTTTTTGTTACCTATGTCCATTTTCAAGTATAAAATTGTAATGAAATAATTATTTTCTTTTTACTTTCCACAAAACCTGCATGCAGTTCCCAGTATTACTTATTTAGTAATTAATTTTTCTAAAGGATCGTACAGCTTCTCCGAAAACAGAGAACAACATCTCCGAAACAGTCTCCTTCCTCTTCTTCCGAACAGAATCCGAAAACTCACACTTTTTATGAGTTCTACAAATCGCACAATTTGAAAATCATTGGATTAGGCTACAAATCAGTGCTTCTCAACTTTTCCGACTCAAGCATCCCTTTCATCATTCGCTCTCACTCCTTTCAAAACATTACATCAAGAAATACATATGCATTTATTTAAATTTAGATTATATTTCAATGTGTTTTATAAATTAAACAAGAAAATATGTACAAAATGTTTATAAATACCCAAACATGAATAAAAAAAGTTTTTTTAACAGCTAAATAAACGGCTGACCGCATTCCCCCCTTTAACAATGAAATCCCCCCCGGGGGAAATTCCTTCCCTGGTTGAGAATTCAAAATTGTTATAGATGTTTCTAATGTAAAAATATGAATTTTAATACAAGCAAAACATTGGAAATTATAGTGATGTCTTACCGATTATTGTAAGAAGATCGGAATATTCTTCTCAAGCTCCAACGAGATTCCATATTAATCCAATTCAGAGCAGTCGTCAATGAATTATCACAACATAACACACTTTCTTTTTTTTCTGTTTGCAAAATTCTACATATTTCCCCCCGAAAATCAAACTAGCAGTACATCCGTCATTGAAAGTTCTACAGTCTTCATGTTTGGTTTCTTTTTTTCGAGAATATCTTTTTAACGAATCTTTCCACAAACATCCTTTCAATAAAATTCTTGTACTTTTTTTCCTTGAAAAGCACAGAAAATAATTTTTTTCGAACACTTAAATTATTAAAATAACAATTTTTCTAAATGAAATATTATTCAAAAAGAAACGAAAGTGAGTGTATTAACAAAAACACGCCTTTGATAATTTGAAAGAATTCAGAGATTCCAAAAGAAAGTTATACAGCGCCGAAAGACGACCGAAGATATCGTCTGCTACCCATCACATCGGAATTCGAACCAACAACTGAAGAAGAATCGGGCGGTGTGTGTGTACCATGCTTCACGCCACGGACTATCGGATACGACGCGCATGCGTAGAGGTCAGCTGCGGGCTCTGAAAGGGTTCATGCTCTTATTGCAAATCGCTGTTTCATGGGATAAAAAACTTCTTACTCAAAGTTCTTGCGTAATAGTTACGGCAAACGAATATTTTTGCAGGCTTAATCTTTAATTAGTTTTCTTGTTGTTATTAACCCTCGCTTTACGAAAGCTCATTTGTTACGAAAGATCTATATTAGTATCTTTTTCGATGACTGAAACTAATCGTTTTCCGATTTTACCATGCAAAGCGGATGTATTATTCAATGCTTGTTTCGCGTTACGATGATGACAGAAAAATGACCCTTCAAATGTCAATGGATTGGATTAGATTGGATTATTCAATTATGGCAAAGCACACGAGGGGTATCTGCCTAAAGGGAGGGATGCCTTCGTGGAGGACTTTCTAAGCGAAACTGGCTCGTATACACCTTACACGTGGGGAAAACCACGAAAACGCCCATGCAGCCATCCCGTTCGCGGGATTCGAACCTCAGACCGAACTACCAGTGTTTAGCGTCTTTACCGCTTGGCCGCTGGTGGGCTCAAATGTCAATGGATTAGCAGTATTAGAGCAGTTTTACAGAATACTTTGATTATTCGCTAAGAACTGTGCTGTAGGAAAAATATGCTAGTTATGTTTTAGGTTTACCACATAAGCCATAGCAGATGACGAACTTCGCCTGTTAACCGAAGAGTAGAAATACATAGTAAACGTAGAAGAAATGATGGAAAGAATACAAACGATGGTGAGATGCTTCTTTGTTTTGCATTCAGCCCTCCCGCAACCGAGCGGTAAAACCGCTGATATTGGCAATTCGAGGCGGGTTCAAATCGCGGCAATTCTGCTGGCCACACATCGTAAACAAAAGCCAGGTTCCCTTTAAAAGCCTTTCACGAAGGCTATATTCTAATGTTGTAGAGCTAAGTAAATTTATTTCGAAAGAGGAACTATGTCAAATCAGTAGTCCTTGCCAGGGTTCGAACTCAGTCCTATCAATCAGGGTTCGACCGATTGCGAGCAGGAAGTACTTCCGATTGAACCACGTGGTGAGGATTTCGGAAATTCCTTACATTCTTCCCCACTTAAAAGGCGAGGGTTATCGTTTGAACATCTTCTTAGCAGTGCCCTCGCAGAGATCCGAACTCCGGATCTCCCAACTGCTAATTGAGCGTGCTTCTATTGGCAATAGGAAGGCACGTGGGAAAGAAGAAAATTCCTTATTTAAAATTTCCTATTTTAAGGCCGATCTGGTATCTCTCATTATTAGGATAAAATTTTTCTCAGGGAAAAAAGACAAAATTTTCATTGGTAAATATTTAAGATTTACAAAATTCCATGGTCTGGTATTTTCACTAACATTTTCAAAAACACTTAACGTATATATTTACGTATATACTTTTTACGTATAGTATATATTTACGTATATACTTAACGTATATAATTTGGAAGGAATAGAATGTAAGGAGGAACGGACAGAAAGGAGAAGCAATACGCGTAAATAGTATGTAAGTAAATACATCTTAAATTATGATTTGTTAACTAGATTCTACATTTTTAATCCACCGAATTCAGGATAACTTATTCAACATCGTTATTTTACATAAAGATTACCATTTAATTGAATGGTGCTTTTATGTATTTTGTTTATATGTTTTTATATTATATATATATATATACATTTATACATTATATATATATATATATGTTTTTATATTATATATAGATATATAGATATACATTTATACATTATATATATATATATATATATATGTTTTTATATTATATATATATATATATATATACATTTATACATTATATATATATATATATTTTTTATATTATATATATATATATATATATATACATTTATACATTATATATATCTATATAGATATACAGGGTGATTTTAAATTTATTTTTACAAATTAAGAGGGGTGATAGTACTCATCCAGATGAACAATAATTACCATAGAACATATTGTCGAGAGGCAGAAAAGAAGAGACTATTAGAATTGCAATCTAAACTTACAACAGTGTTCGGAAAGCGAATGAACGAGACCAAATGTTGCACAATCAGTTTAGTGACAAACTCACAGAGAGTGCACAAAACGGATAAAACTGAAAACCTGGCGTTCGAGTGTTAATTCGAGTTCAGACTTTGATGGCAAACACTGAAATGCACATGTTTGGTTGTCAAGGTGTCAACCTAGCAAACGATTGCAACAAGTTAATAATTTTAAACAAGGGCTGAATATTATCAACTAACACCAACATCCGCTGCATGCCGAGATTAGCATGAAAAGCTCATGCTGCGTTCCGGCTGTCAGAACTTCGTCTCCCATAGAAGGGCGGTAGGTAGAACGAGCGCAGCAGAGTAAGTGCAGGACGACAGGTTTGAAGATAGCTAAGAGAAAAACAACTGCTACTTTGATACTTGATTCAAGGTAGCTTTTCCCACTAATAATTTAGATAATTAACTTGTTGCAATCATTTGCGAGGTTGACACCTTGTTAACAAAGATGTGCATTTGCGTGTTAGTCATCACAAAGTCTCAGCTCTAATTAACTCTCGAACGCCAAGTTTTTGGTTTATCCGTTTTGTGCACTCTCTGTGAGTTTGTCACTAAACTGATTGTGCAACACTTGGTCTCATTCATTCGCTCTCACAACACCGTTGTAAGTTCAGATTGGAATTCTAATATTTTTCTTTTCTGCCTCTTAGAGCGGAATGCGACCCTATATTCTATGGCAATTATTGCTCATCTGGATGAGTACTATCATCCCTCTTAATTTGTAAAAACAATTTAGAATTACCCTGTATATACATTTATTCATTATATAAATCTATACAGGTATATGTAGAGAGATTTATACATTTATACGTTTTTACACATTGCATATATATTTTTTAAACTTATCTTTACACGCTTTTATGCATTATATTTATACGATTTATACGTTACATTTATACATGCATATTTTTTTCATTGATATTTTTTTCATTTAGTGCCACGTGTTTAATTTTTGCCACGTTTGTCAGCATTGGCATAAATCAGAAGGTGAAATTATTTAATTCTGGAAACCTCCGAAAATAATTACGGAAATTTGAGCCCAGATAAAATTATTGCCCTATTCAAATACCCAACTATTGACTGTTGTACTTAATACAATCGTCAATGTCATTACCTCTAAGCCTTCCAATATGTTAGCCTTCTGTATATGTATCATAATATGTTCGTTTTTAGTATTATTTGGCAGTCGGTTTTATGGAGAAGCCTGGCAAAGTCTTTCGCTTTTAAAATGAATGGTAAATTCGTCTTTATTTTACTCAATTTTGGCTTACAGACGGAAAGGTTTCTCAAGAATGCTTTGGTTTCTTACGAATGCTGGATTTCCTATTATGGCCAAAGAAGAAAAATTATCTCTACGGATACAAGTTTATTTACGTATTTCTATTATTTACTTTCTAGAGACATTAGGCATTTTTTGAAAGCAGCAGAGATGAAAAATGAGCAATGCCCTCGCCGGGACTCGAACCATGGAACTCTCGAATACGCGTCAAGCATGCTGACCACTACACCACGAAGGCCTGCTGAGATAAATACCTTATATACTCCCTCCTTTTAAAGGGCGATTGGGGATTAGGGGACCCTATCGCCAAATCCTGCACTTTTTAGTTCGGACGCCACTGTAGAGACATCAGGAATTTTTTGAAAGCAGGAGAAATAAAAAGTGAGCAATGCCCTCGCCGGGACTTGAATCACTGACCTCTTAAATACCTCTTGAATTTGACCTCGAAAATATTTTTAGTAATAAAATTATATTAAAAATCGATTCTAACTTCTGAATGCGTGCCTTGGGAAACTAACCCTTGGACGGAGGTCGAGACTTCTAAAGAAAGAAAAACCATACTCACATGTCAAAAGCTTATTTTCCAAAAACTACAATAAATTTATGACAACGGGTAAATTTTGTTCCAACATTTACGTCTTCCCGCTGAAAAGAGATCCTACAGTCTTTTTGGAACGATGTAACCAAACATGAGCGATAAAGATTGTCACTAGTTATTTTTTTTTCAACTAACACTTGGATTCGGGAAGCATTTGTTCCTCTGTCTCATTCTGCTTGACATCCAGATTTATATTGATGAGAGATCGTGGTCGGAAAATGTTGAAATCTCTTTTTGTTTTCATACCTACAGGTGACAGGTGAGAGCAGGTCCGGACATCCGGGCGGCTTGCATAGACTAATCGGGTATTATCCGGATACCGCAACTATCTACACTCCGAAATCAAGACAAAAGCAAAAGTATCAGATTATTCCGCATGCGTTACATAAAGTAGAATATACAAAATACAGGTAACAGATCTGAAGGCGCGATTCATTTCATACTACTTTTGATGGAATAGCATTCATTATTCTAAAAGTTCATTGTTGCGGAAATTTTGCTGTACTCTGAAAACGTACCAAAAACAACTTGTAATAATAATTAAACATTCCCCCAAAATTACTGTTTGTTTGAATGTTTAACTATTATTATAAGAATAACTTGTAATGATAATTAAACATTCAAACTAACAATAATTAAATATTCTCCCTTTCTCCAGCATGCTTTCTTGGTGTAAAGGTAGCACACTCGGCGCGCGTATTCGAGAGGCCCAGGTTGAGTCCCGGGGAGTATCCACAAGTGCACATTTCCATGTCTTCAGGAATCAAATAACCTAATGACTCTACAATATTCTATTACTGTCTATAACATTCTGTCTAGACTCATTAGTGATGCTTTAACCATTTTAACGTTATTCATTGGTGTTTTGGAAAAAGAATAGTCTTTATTTCTATCATCCTCCCTTTACATTCAAAGCTTAAATTCAGT